AAATTTTTTATTCGTAGCCAATGACATTCCGACAAATTTCGACTTCGAACTGAATATTAAGGAACAATTAATAATAATAATAAAATATTTCGTCGATGGAATAGAAATCGATTAAATTTGATTATGTATCGATCGATTGATATTTCATATCAATTTATTCACACGACGATTCATTCATCGTATAAAAATATTATTTATCGACTGATAGTACAATAGTATTTGAACAAAAAAAAAAAAAAAAAAAAAAAAAAACAAGAAAATGTTCCTAGTTCTATGGAAAATTTATAGGATCAATTAAAAGTAATAATAATAATAATAATAATAATAATGAATATATTTCCCATGTTAATATAATTAATAAATTTTGTTCGATTGAATTCACTTACGTTGTACTCTGGTTGTGTTCGGTCTATACCTTCGATGTTCCCTATCCCAGGTTTCTGGATGTCTTCGCCATTCTTCGTCGGCTACAACTCCTGTTCCACCCCCACCTGTTAATCCTTGAAGACCTTGAAGAGTTTGTAAAGCTTGAAGGTTCGGGCTTAATGGACGATTTTTTAAAGATGGTACCGGAACGTATGCTCCTCCTTCGCCGACATATACAACCTTCAAATGAATTAAAACAAAACGTCATTTACAAATACATATTAGAAATATCTAATATTATTATATTTGTATAGTTTTATTAATATACAAAATGAAAAGATTAATTCATTTCTGAATAAAAACACATAAAAAATTTTAAATCATCGGGTATTGATCATTTGAAATATAATTTTCGTTAAATAATAAAATAAATAAAAATGAGATAACGAATGTAAGTAAATACATAAGTATTTATATAAAAAATATTATATATATATATATATATATATATATATATATGTATCACATGAAATATAAATATCAAATAAACTGTATACTATACTATATAAATAATATATCATCGAAATAAATCTATTAAATGTCTCATACGAAAGAAGAAAAAAATAAGATACGTGAAATAATGTACGGTGAATATACATTTAAATACCCAATCAACGTGTAATACATCAAACGATATATAAATATCAAAATATATTGTACTAATATACAATAATATATACTATATAATATATATATATATATATATATATATATATATATATATATATAAAGAAAATAAATAAAATACGTACTCATAATATATACCATCTATCTACATATTAAATAACAGTGGACGTAATATTTTCTCATAAATCATCAAACATTACATCGTCACCCATTCCTCTTGAATCGACTAACGATCGACTCTCTTTTTCTCTTTCTCTCTCACTCTCTCTCTGTCTCTCTCTTTTTCTTTTTTTCTCGAGCAGCAAACTAAGACCTTTGACCTACGTTAACGAGTCCCTTTAACCTTAGGATCGACAAATCGCTACCGAGTAGGAAGAACAGCATAGAAGAACAGCAATGTGTAGATGGAAATGGTACGAAGTCGTGATGATGTTAAAGAGGAAGAGGAAGAGGAGATCGTTCTTGAGAGAGAAGATTTTCTCTCTCTTTCTTTCTCTCTCTTTCTTTCTCTCTCTCTCTCTCTCTCTCTCTCTCTCTCTCTCTCTCTCTCTGTTTCTCGTGGAAGCTTTCGAAAAACACGAGGCACGAGCAGCGCGTGACTAACGCTTTACGAGCTCGTGTATACACTCTTCTATCTCTTTTCAACTCGTTCGACGTGTAGATATGTATGTACTTAGATATGTATGTACGAGTACTAATACTATCACATAAGTAGTAAAAGAAGAAGAAGAAATAGAAGAAGAAGAAGAAGAAGAAGAAGAAAAAGATGAAGACAAAGATGAAGAAGCCAAAGACAAAGACGAAGACGAACGAGTATAAAGAAAAAAAGCAAAGAAAAAGGAGGAAAAAAAAAAGAAGAGAAAAAGTAAATAAAAAGATGAGGATAAGAAGAGGAATAATCTTTGCCAGGTTGTCAGGAGGATGCATGCCGAGAGTTTGTAGACACCTACTCGGCCAAATCAGGTGAGAAAACTCGAAGAAGAAAGAGGATGAGAAGAGAGACGAACAGAAGGAGGAGTAGGAGGTGGAGAAGAAGAAGAAGAAGATGATAATGAAGGAGGAGGAGGAGAAGGAGGAGAAGAAGAAGAAGAAGGAGGAGGAGGAGGAGGAGGAGGAGGAGGAGGAGCGCACGTGGTTGGTGGTAAACGTTCCCAGTACTAAAAAGTTGCAAACAGCCTCCATATGCCTTAGTTATGAAGAAACACAAGCATGTTATTTCTCTTCTTCTTCTTCTTCTTCATTCTTTCTATCTCTTTCTCTTTCTTTCTTATTCTTTCTCTCTCCCCCCCTCTCTCTCTCTCTCTCTTTCTTCGCCATATTCCACTTTCTTGTCTGAAAGCTCTTAAAGTCGTTTCCCTTGGTTCTCATCCATTCTGGCGAGAAATTATTGCTTTTCACGGATTCCACTTTTGAGGTACGTTTCTGGAATTCGCGAAAGGGTGAAGAGGAGAAAAAGAGAGAAAGAGAGAGAGAGAGAGAGAGAAAGAGAGAGAGAAGTGTATAGAGGAAAGAATAGTAGAATGAGAAATAGTAGGAGGGTGTTGGGATCGTTTATGGGCCTTACTCGGTACGTTTATTCCTATCCCTTGCGCTTACTTGCTCGTTGCTATGAACTTGCCTCAAACGCATTTTGCTGTTTCCTACTGTTCTCCCCTCACCTCATCCAGTCAACTCACCCACCCCCGTTTCCTATTCTCCTTTCTTTACCGTAAATGAGAACCCGGCACGATATTTTCAAATCTTTTAAAGAGGATCATTTCTACCGGCAATTCACGATTTCACTTCCTTCTTGTCATTTCGAAGACGTTAACAGAGTAAGAATCACTACGGTTCCTTTGTGATAAAGATCGGACGCCGACCGATCATCATCTGTTAGTCTCTGTCCGTCGATAATGGTAATCGTAAAAATACGAAAGAAATCACTGATCATGATCGATGTCGTTCGAGAATTCCACTTTTTTCTTTTTTTATTCTCTCTCATTTCTCTTCTCTTTATTTTATTTCATTTTGTTTCATTTTATTTCATTCTTTTATCTTATCTCCTTTCATTTTCTTTTCTAAAGTTGTAAAATAACTTTGACGTTCGTCGAACGCGACAAGTTTATTACCCCCCCCCCCCCCGACCCCGACCCCCTCCTCCCCTTACCCTCCCACCTACATCCCCAACTCATCATTCTAACACTTGTTGATCTGAAAACGTCGAATTCGAAATTGTAATTTTATCTTTCGTAGACGAAGACTCAAAGCGAAAGAAATGTTTGATTATTAGTGTGAAAGAAAAGTTTGATTTTTTTCATCATTTCTTAAATTTCTCTCTTTTCTTCTGCAGATTCCTTTTTTCTGCTCTTTTTTTTTTTTCCTTTTTTTTTCTTTTTCTTTTTTTTTTTGTAACGTTAAACCAATACCCGATCAATTAGCAGATAAATAAATGAACGAATAAATCGTAAAACGAGAACGTAATCGCGATCATGATCGATGTCGTTTGAGAATTCCACTATTTTCTTATTTTTCATTTTCTTTCTTTCTTTATATTTTTTCTTTCTTTTTTCCTTTTTAATAGTAATATAACTCGACGTTGATCCAACGTGACAAGTTGATCCAATTTTTATTTCCCCCCTACCCCTGCCCCTCCCCCTTCCACGTGTAGTAAAACTCGTAGTCGACATTTTTCTTTCGGACGAAGATTAAAACGAAAGAAAAGTTTAATTTCTTAAATTTTTTCTTCGTTTTCTTCTCTCTTTTTTTTTTCAATGACTCTCTCTCTCTCTCTCTCTCTCTCTCTCTCTCTCTCTCTCTCTTGTAACGTTATAACGACATCGTGTTCGTCGATTGACAGATAAATAAATTGAATGAATGAATGAATAATTCGATTTGATGATTACAAATGAAGAAAAAGAAGAAAAAAAAAAAAGAAAAAAATACGAGAAACTGGAAGAAGAAGAAAAAAATCGAAATTCGTCGATTCTCTCAAGAGTATCTCGATATGTCGTCTTCGATGTAAATCTCGTTTCATTATTATTATTATTATTATTATTTTTGCTTTTATTATTATTATTATTATTGTTGTTGTTATTATTATTAGCTGTCGGTTTCGCGTGATATCTAAGGACGCTTTTCCCTTTCCCGTTCTTCACTTCTGTCATCTTCGATCAAGTGACACGCACGGATCGATAACCGAAGATCGATAACGCTGATAAAAATTCACATTGATGGTTAAGTAAGTACTTACTTACTTAGTTACTCCCGAGAAGGAAAAATCGAAAGTCATTAACCGATCGCTTGAAAGAGAAAAGCCAGTGATATCATTTCCTTGATTAAATCTAAGTGTCATCTCTATTAATTCAATATGTCCGAATGAACGAGAAACCCGTTTTGTTTCCGGTCTAATTAATATATATATATATATATATATATATATATGACGTACATGTATTTGCAAAAAGATATTGCAAAATGATGTTATCGATGATATCTATATTTTATTTTTCATAATAAATTAATAATTTCTGTGGCAAAGTTGTACGTCGTGATTATTTTCTAAAGAAATTTTTAAAAGGAAAAAAAAGTTGAGGTAACAATTTCTATAGCAAAAATGTACGTCCGTAATTTTTTTGCAAAGAAATCTTAAGAAAAGAAGAAGAAAAAAAAAAAAAAAAAGAAAGAAAGAAATTAACTAATAATTTCTACGGTAAAGATGCAGGACGTAATTTTTTTTTCTCTTTTTTTTTACTGTTTTTTTTTTCTTTTTTTTTTTTTTTTTTTTTTTTTTTTTCAAAGGAATCTTTTAATCGAAATTTAAAACAAAGAAAAAGATCGCGCGATGGCGTCTAACTTACAAGCAAAAGAAAGTAAGAAAAGGAAAGGAAAAAAAAAAAAGAAAAAAAAGAAGAATGAACTAACAATTTTAATAATGAAAAAACGCACGGTAATTTTTCTCAGATATGTCTTTAAATTAAATCAAATTAAAAAATTGCGATATCACGATTAAAGAAGAAAGAAAGAAAGAAAGAAAGAAAAAAAAAGAAGAAAACCAAAAGGAAAAGAAAGAATCAATAATTTCAATAATGAAAAAGCGCTTAGTAAACGTAGTAAATTTTCGAAAAAATTTTTTAATTGAACGATCGAAGGATAAAGAAAGAGAAAAAAAAATAAAAAAAGTATTGAATCGTTCGAATATATTCTAATCATATATATATATATATATATATATATATATATATATATATATATGCATAATTTTTAAATACCTTTCAGTAGTATTAAAAATATTATTACAATAGTATAGAATATATTGACCTGATATTAAACGGGAATTCGAACGTTTCACGTACGAACAAGAAGAATTTAAGTTATGGATTTCTATTTCCCTCGCTTCCTCTTTTTTTTTCCCTATCTCGAAACTATTTCAACGACTATCGAAGGTCAAGGTAGACCGCATTTCGATTCCGTACGTTTTCTATGACTCTCGATCGGTATCGTTTAAATCGAGTCTCTCGTAAGTATTTACTAGTCGCATAAGTCCATTTGTATTTGCGTAAATGCCATTTAAATTTATTACATTAATAATAAACATGTATGCATACACACAGACACATACATATACACATACACACACACATACACACATATATATATATATATATATATATATATATATATAACTAATCGGAAGTTCTTGTAACAAGTTTTGTTATCTAAAGGAATTTAAATAGAATATTTAGATGAATAAAGATATTGTGTATCATCGAAGAACCGAAGGAAAGAAAAAGAAAGGAGAAAATAAAGATAAAGAAAAAATACAAAAAGGATTCGAGAGAAAAAAGAAAAAAGAAAAGGAAAGAAAGAAACGATAAGAGGAATATTATTCGAACGAACGAAAAGAAAACTTCCGTTTGTTAGCTTTTTCTTATGGGTTTCGTTTTGATATATAAAATGTATAAAGTTTCCGCGGGATAAACCGTATATAACAATTAATTATTATTTGCCAATAAGGAAGAAATATGTTAGAAGAGAAAATGTGTGAACGATGATGCTGCTAATCTTCTCTTCTTTTATTTTATTTTTTTTTATTTTTTTATTTTTTATTTCATCGTTCTCTTTTTATTTTTTCTTTCTTTTATATCATCGTCGTTGTCGTCGTCGTCATAGTCGTTCACTTTTTATCGTTCGTCGATCATTCTCTACGAAAGAAGACCGTTCATCAATTAATCGTGGAACAGCATTTATCTAAGATGAAAGAACGTAAATACGTGAACGTTCGTAATTTTCTATGTCAACTTTCGTCGTTCGTTTTTTTAACAAATTTTCACGATTTCTATCGTACACCAATGTTAATTGCAAAATAAGTATAGTCATTTATGATTTCATTGCTGCATTATATCTTTTTTCTTCATATATATATATGTGCGCGTGTGTGTGTCTGTGTCGCGTTATTTTTTTTTTTTTTTTTTTTTTAATATTATAAACAAATACAGGATGGGCCAAAAGTTCTCAAGTGATTCTTCTTTTAAATTGTAATATTTCAGGCATACCGATTATATTATATTATTATTATTTAATTACAAACCTGTCTATATATATATATATATATATATATATATATATTATTATTATTATTATATATAATGATATATAATTAGAAGGCTAAAAAAATTTTCGTAAACGATTAATTAATATTTAAAAGTCATTTTTAATCTTAATCATAAATTTTTAGAATTCTGATAAACGAAAGTACAATTTTATTGATTTATCGTAATATTATTATTTCGAATGAAACATACCGCATCGTGATCACTTGCTTCGTGTGTCAAAGCTTCTCTTGTTTCATTTTGCAATGAATGCTCGTCCTCCGGTCCAGATCCGCTTCCTGCCCAATAATCCTCAGTAGTTTCCTCCAATGACGCTTCTTCGTTATTACCATCGATACTTGGATTCTCCAAACTCGTTGCCTTTATTAATAAAAAATTTCTTTTAATATTTAACAACTTTATTTTACGAATTTCTTTTCTTTTCTCTTCTTTTTATTTTTTTTTTTTTTTCTTTCTTTTTTGTCATCAACGAAAAAAACATACAGCGATTCGATTGTGCTCTTCGTTAGGAAACAAAAAAATTTCTTTCGATTACGTCGTAAAGTTAAAGAAATTGAAATTAAAATAGAAACAGAATTAATAAATGTTATGTAAAATAGATATGTATATAGATAAATATAATATAAAAATTATCTTGTATTGTAATATTAAAAATTAATATAACTATAATATAAATTAATAATAATAAAATAATAATATAGAGATATAGAATATATATATATATATGTATAATATATATAAATATATTATTTTATATATACACATATATAATAATTCTGATTATAATAAAAATATAAAACAAATTATAGTAACCTTGTAACTTGGCGTAGTTATGATCAAGATCCATACAACAGCATACCTGAAACAAAAAAAATATTTCATGTCATATAAAGTCTACCGATCATCTTACAAAGACATCACAACATCACAGAAATTTGTCGCGTTTACAACAAACGACTCGCGTAAAGCCACTGGATAAGATCATACTCTCTTTCTCTCTCTCTCTCTCTCTCTCTCTCTCTCTCACTCTCTCACTCTCTCTCTCTCTTTTTCTCTGATTCGCAAAAAGTTTTCTGTTCTCACGGTTTCAAAATACCACTTCGAGAGTCGTGGAAAGGCCGCGTAGGGAATAAAAAATTTTTTTTCTTTTTCATCGAGGCTACACGTACCAACATGGAAATTCTTAAGAGATGGAAGGACTATGGGATAAAATCTTTTGAAATGATAATCGGACTAGTGACATCCGTGAACCTTGACCTATACCTACATAGGTAGATATATACTACTTATATATACGAAAATGGAGTAACCGAGAAAAATAATTATACTTTATAGTTGTAGAATGTATGTGTTCGTCCATGAGAGAAAAAGAGAGATAGAGAAAGATAGAGAGAAAGAGAGAAAGAGAGAGAGAGAGAGAGAGAGAGAGAGAGAGAGAGAGAGAGAGAGAGAAATTAAATAAAAAAAAGGATGGTAAGAAAATACTTTGGGAGCAAGAAACGTGTAATTGAAATAAAGACAAGACTGTCGAGAGAGAAAAAGATAGAGAGAGAGAGAGAGAGAGAGAAATAGAGATAAGTCACATCATCATCTGATTGTAAGATTCTACGTAGCAGTATGCAAAGTGAAATGATGATGATAACGATGATGATAATGATGACGATGATGACGATGATGACAATGATGACGATGATGATTATGATGACGAAGAAAAAGGTATGAAAATAAGAACAAACGAAAACGATCTCTACTACTTGATTTATATCTATATTATATCGGGTGTCCAACTTGAATCAATTCAGAATATAATATATTTAATAACAGAAAATAATGTTGAGGAATTTCGTTAGATCAGTTAAAAAAAAATGTTTCATATCAAATATATATATATATATATATATATATATTTTTTTTTTTGTCTCTTTCTTAATTTCTTTTTTGTTTTTCATTTTACCTTTTTAATATTAATCCCAGTATAGTTAATTATTTTTACCGTAGTCAAATAAGAACACCCTATATATACGTGCTACTCGATCTGCTTACACGTCACGATCCTCGCCTGTCATCTTCGTTCCCGCGTAATACACAACGATTGCGTATATACCATTCTAAACCATTTATATGCGTTACTCTCTCGAGTAAGTACTTACATATGTACTTACTTCCTTCTCCCACCAATTTGAAAACTTTCCTTCTTTGATCTGCCACCGACCGTTAAGCGTAATATTTCTCAGAAAGATATCTCAAATCTGATTACCAAGTATTGTAGGTATGTATATGTTTATATTTATATATATATATATATATATATATATATAAATTTATGTATGTATGTATGTGTATGTACATACATATGTATCTATGCAAACTTATGAAAGTAGACGTTTACTTCTTGGAAAAAGAATCTAATCATTTTTCTTCTCTTTTCCTCCAATTTCAAAGTTAATATGTGCATATATTTTATATATATATATATATATGTGTGTGTGTGTGTGTGTGTGTGTGTGTGTGTGTGTGTGTGCGTGTGTATGTAAAATATAACTAAGTAGATACATTCATCGATTTAAAAATTATTTAATTATTATTATACCCAGAATGATAATTCTTATAAAATTAATTACAAACGATGGAAAATTCTTGACAAATTAATTATAACGAACGATTTAAAGAGATAACGCAATGCTGAATGGAAATAATGATAAATTTTGGAAAGACGAAGAGGATTAAAAATTTTTAATCAAAAAAAAAAAAGAAAAAGAAAAGAAAAAAGAAAAAATTGGATTATTATTTTTCATTTTTTATTTGATTATTATTTAATTAACGAGCGAAGATTCTTTCTTCTCTTTTTTTCTTTTTCTTTCTTTCCATGATTTTTCCTTTTTTCTTTTCCTATTTTTTTGTTTTTTTGTTTTTCCATCGGTCGATCTTCTCTTTAAGAACGAACACGAGAGACGCTCGGAAATTGTTAAATTTTGGAATAAGCGAGAAGGAAATGTACGAAAAAAAAAAGAACAGAAAAGAAAGAAGAAAAGAAATAAATGAAAAGAAAAGAAATTGAAGCGCAATTAACGAATGCATTTTTCTCTTTCAATCGTTCTAACATTCGTCCACCATTATAGATAACTGATATGATGAAAACGAGAATGATAAATATCTGAATTGAATGATAAATATCTGAAGAATAAAAAAATCAATTGAGATTAACGAGTGACTTATTGCTTCCTTCGTAGTTTTCATTTCTCCTTAAGAAAATTACTTTCTTATTCTCGATCTTCTTCTTCCGAGGAAAAACGAACGAGGGATTTGGAATTTTGAAAGGGGAGGAAAGAAAAAGAAAAAGAAAAAAGAAAAAAACAACA